TTTAACACGGGATAAAGCGTCTGCGTTTTTATTTTTTTTACCGGGCTTATACACAATGGTATAGTCGTATTCTTCAAGCTTAAGACGCCATCGAGCTAAACGACTACCAGGATCATTTATCGAAAATAGCCAAGTTAAAGGACGATGATCAGTAACGAGAGTAAATTTTCTTCCGAACAGATAAGGGCGGAAGTGTTTAACTGCCCATACTATGGCGAGAAGTTCCCGTTCTATAGTTGAATATTTCGTCTCTGCACTACATAGAGTTCTAGAGGCATATGCTATGGGAAGGTCTTTTCCAATGGGACCTTGTGAAAGAACTGCACCAATGGCAAATGCACTGGCATCGGTGGTTAGGACAAAAGTTTCCTCGAAATTTGGATAAATGAGTATTGGGTCACGTATTAGAGCGTTTTTAAGCTCATTAAATGAATTTTTGCATTCTGAATTGAATACGAAGGGTGTGTCTTTTTGGAGAAGTCTAGTTAAAGGTTTTGAGATCTTTGCGAAATTGGGAATAAAACGTCGGTAGTAACCGGCTAAACCAAGGAAGGATTTAATGTCTTTTGGTGATTTTGGTTCTGAAATTTTTTGAATAGCGTCTATTTTCTCAGGGTTGGGTTTGACTCCATCTGGGGTCACGAGATGCCCTAAATAAGCTACTTCCTTTCGAAGAAATTCACACTTGTCAGGTTGGAGTTTGAGGTTTGCACCACGAAGGCGTTTGAAGACATCAGTTAACCTTTGTATATGTTCGTGTATGGTAGCGGAATAAACGATAATATCGTCCATGTAAACGAGACCTCGTTCGTTTTGAAGACCTAAGAGAATGTTGTCCATGACACGTTGGAAAGTGGATGGAGAATTTTTTAGTCCGAAGGGTAAACGGAGAAATTCAAAATGACCATTTTCAACTGAAAATGCAGTTTTAGCAACGTCCTTGGGATCAATTTCAATTTGGTGAAACCCAGAGGCTAGGTCCAAAGTAGTGAAATATTGACATCTGCCTAACTGGTCTAAGAGATCGGAAATATTGGGAAGAGGGTATTTGTCGTCGACAGAGACTTCATTTAGTGCGCCATTTTTGTTTCATAGAAGCGTCTAATTTTTTTGGGACAACCCAAACAGGGGAAGACCATGGAGAAGTGGAAGGTCGAATGATTCCTTGTTCGAGCATTTTGTTGATTTGTGACTTTACTTCTCGTTTGTGGACATGTGGGTACCTATATGATTTGGTAAAAATCGGTCTGGCGTTGTTCGTTTCAATAGTATGTTTAATTTCATTAGTAAAACTTAAATGATCTCCTTCTAAATAGAATATATCAGAAAAATCAAGACATAATTGTGTTATTAATTCTTTTTCTTCTTCGTTTAAATGATCGGTGCGTAACTGGGATTGAATTATACCGCGCCTATCAACAGGTTGAGGATTTAAATTGAAGATATTATTTATTTCTTTTTCGTTAGGATTTGTATTAAAAGGTTCGATAGATAAATTTGAAAAATCTATAGTTTTTGGGATAGCATTAGCGTTAATAACAGTAGTAAAAAATTCACCTTTGTTATTTACTTTAACTAAAGCATTAGGTAACCTAACTTTTTCACATTCTTGAGAGTGGAGAATAGCGTCTGTGTTTGTTAAACTACATTTTAATTTGAAAATTCTTTCGGTCCTAGGTTCGATTGAAATTCGATTTTGAATATTTTGTTCAGGTTTTTTACAAATTTTGGGAAGAACAGATTCGTGTCCTACTTTATGCAAAGGCATTGTTTTAAAATTCGTTATAAGTTTTTTGGACTTTAAATCGATTATACATTGGTAGCGATCAAGAAAATCTAAACCGAGAATTCCGTCAAATTCGATGTCAAGATCGTAAAGATAGACTTTATGTTTGTCGTTATCGGTGAATGGAATAAGTGTGGATTCTTTAATAAAAAGTGTTTGATTTGTTATACCTTGGATGGTAATATTTTCCTTAACTCGTGTTCTGTAATTTTCAGCGGTTTTATATTTAAAGATAGAAATACCTGCGCCTGTATCTATTAATATTTTGAATTTTTGCGTAGCGTCAAAAATATAGTATAAATTTTTAGAATTTACCGTAAGAAGAGGGTTTAACAGAAGTTCTGTTCTGGAAAGTTTAGATTGGGATTCATGTTGTCTAAATTCAGGGTTTGAATTTGGGAATTGATTTCGAAAATCGGGTCTGGAGACATTTCGTCTGGTGGGATATCGTAAGGGCTTTCTTGAAAATCCTGCTCTGGTTCGCAGTTTTCTGGATGGTTAGAATAATGATTTTGAAGTTCATTATCTTCTTGAAGAGTGTAATTTTCATGTGAAAATTCCTGGGAATTTCCGGAATAACCGTCGATGTAGATCGGGTTTGAGTTTACATGATGAGTTCGCTGCGGGTTTGGATTCATAAAATGTGGCTTAGGATAAGAGTTTGAAGATTTCATCGGTATTTGATTCGAATTGTTGCTAATGTTGTTTTGTTGGAACCAATTAGAAGGTCGCTGTGGATATTGCGAAAAATTTGGTTTGACATGCTGATGCGTACTTCTACATTGATTTGAAGTATGACCAATTTTATTACACAAAGTGCATTTGGGTTGCTGAAGAGGGGTTCGAATATTCGCAGAGTGCGATTTAGGAGAATTTAATTTAACAGATTTTTGATTTTCAAAATATGAGAGTTGGAGTTCTCGACGAATCCTTGCTTGGGCTTCTAAAAGTGAAGTGGGATTACTAGCACGAATGAGTTGACCTAATCTAGGTTCTAAACCTGTAAGAAGTGTATTAAGGGTCATAGTCTCAATTAAAGATATCTGAGCATCCTTTTGCTCTTTGGATCCTAATGTGGTGGATTTTTGAACACATGAATGCATTTTCGCATTTAGGACTTGAAGACGATTGAAAAATGTTAATGCTGATTCATTGGGCAATTGTTTAAGACGTTGAAGGTCATGCATTAGGGAAGGTAAATCTCTAGAATCACCAAAGTGTAGAGTTAATAGTTTCTTTATTTCTAGATATGAATCAGGATTCCTAGAATTAATTAATTGAGCTGCTTTACCGCGGAGCTTATTTTTAATGTGAATCACTAAAAGAATTTTTTGTTGCGTTGTTGCCATATTATAAGCACAATCACACGCGTTTATAAAATTTCCTAAAAAGATTTGGTCGGCCTCAAATTCAGGTACGATACAGAAAATTTCCGAAAGTTTATATGGTTCAACTTCCAGCATTGTACTAGGTTCGTCTGATTGAGTTGCCATTATTTTAGGTTTAAGAAAAAGCAAATAAGTTTATAAGAAGTTCAAACACAATTATTTTTTGTTTTAAATATTGCCAAGTTAAACTTGGAGACTAAAATTTAATCAAAATAATTATCGCGGAACGATTCTACGTTGGGAAATTCAATAAATAGGTAATTTTCAACCTTGGGTAATCGAACGTAATAAATTCAACAATGTTGCAAATTAAAAATAAAATTATTCGTAACGATTCTTAACACTTACAGTACTATTTTCATTGCTGCCTTTCGAGACGGTTGATGGGTTTATCCTTGTTCCGGTACGATGGGCTGTCTTCGTTGTTCCCTAGATTTAGGGGTCGGAATCTGCCGCCACTAGTTAGAATACTCGTGTTCTAGCAACGTGAACAGATCCTACTCCGAATTCTTGCCTCTCGAAACGGTGATGGAAGGTTCCTTGTTCCGGCACGACTGGGCTGCGATGGTTCTTCTTTCCGTCTAAGGGATTGGAATCCGCCGTCACTAGTTAGAATACTCGTGTTCTAGCAACGTGAACGGATCCTACCGACTGCGCCAATTTTTATATTTCACTTTTCAAAAATAACTTTTTAAAAAATATATTTATTAACTTTAAATTAAAATTATAATCGAAATGAAATTGGACATAATAACCTCGTGACGAGAGAATGTTATCAGACCGTTAAAATCAAACTAAAAATGGACATAATAACCTCGTGATGAGAGAATGTTATCAGACCGTTAAAATACAACTAAAAATGGACATAATAACCTCGTGATGAGAAAATGTTATCAGACCGTTAAAATCAAACTAAAAATGGACATAATAACCTCGTGATGAGAGAATGTTATCAGACAACGTTTTACAATAGAAATTCGTATTTATAATAAATTTATGCTGACGTTGACGGGGTCGACGGCTGCGGATGTTGCGACATATCGTTGACACGACGTTTTCGCAATCGTTGCACTCTTGCAGGTCGGTGGCATTTAACCCATATGGACAATAGGATTTCCGGATATAACATATATATATATATATATATATATATATATATATATATATATATATATATATATATATATATATATATATATATATATATATATATATATATATATATATATATATATATATATATATATATATATATATATATATATATATATATATATATATATATATATATATATATATTCTCACGTATTGATTCACGGATGGAAAAATGTGATGACACTATATTCCGGGATATCATCCGTTCGCTCGTTGAACTCCGACTGGAATCCTGCAAATCTTGCATCCGACTGGAATCCTGCAGACGTTTCGCCAAAATCTCACTTGGCATCTTCAATGCTCGCGCTCCGAAAACACTTCGAGTCACAATATAGTGTCATCATATATATATATATATATATATATATATATATATATATATATATATATATATATATATATATATATATATATATATATATATATATATATATATATATTCCGAAAGAAAACGAAGTAGAGTTTTTACTAAAGTCCCTATTCCTGAACTTCTCAACATTATTTACGATATACTAAAATCCTATAATCTGGAATCAACGCTCATCTTAGGTAAATAAACATTTATTTTAAATGATACTACCCGAAAAAGTTTACTTTTGATGCTCTATTGATCGCTTATTTTTTATATGATAAACGCAAGATCTTTCTGTAAGTTTCGGTTGAATTTTCAGGACGTAGTTCTTAGTAAGGAACTAGGATCCCTTGGGTTCAGCATTATCGGCGGCACCGATCATTCCAGTACTCCATTCGGCAATAAGGAGCCCGGGGTATTTATCTCTCATGTAAGTATGGCCGTAATAATTAGTACAACACCAAATCTCTCTAGGTGTAATTTGTGAGAGGGCTTGTATTTATATTTTGTATATCTTGCAGATGGTACCAGGTGGTACGGCCGCCAGCTGCGGCAAGCTCCGTGTGGGAGATCGAATCCTCAAAGTAAACGGAACGGATGTTACTCAAGCCACTCATCAGGAGGCGGTTATGGAGTTGATTCGACCAGGAAGTGATACAATCACGCTGACTGTGCGCCACGATCCGTTACCCGATTCGTATCAGGTACGGAAAATCTTTTCGGCGTTTTGGGTATAGCTTCGCTTAAATGACCGACAGTTTAGAAATTTCTTTATTCCATTAATTAATAACATTTATTTTGTGAGGAATATTTATTTAGCTTCACTTTTTTTTCAAGCAAATGGTAGTCACTTACTTAAAAACGATGGTAAGTGCTTAAGAATGTATGTCATTAGAATGTTGTGGAATTGTTAGAGTTTTTGTGCTTTAGATTCGATAAATTCATCGATATTATATTCCATAATTGGAAATTATTCGTTTCTACCATAAAAGATTTATTTATAAATCATAATAATCAAGAAATTTGGTAATGTTAAGCGGAAAAAACTTTGTATATTACTTTTAAATCTCCTGTATCAAGGAATTTCGTTTCCTTTTTCTCTTGCTTCTTCTTGGCGTTTCGCAAAAAACATGGAGAACACGCATGCCTGGTAATTTTGAAACTTTTTTTGCAGTAATGAATTATAGTTTTGGATGATAGGTTATAATTATATAGCTCCTGCTTTATTTTGATTTTGATTTTGTTTTGTTAGATTAGATGGCCTTATTAAAGGTTTTTGTTGTGATTTTAAAAGTATGTAAAATTCTTTTTCTACTCCCTTGTGTAAATTACCTAATTATACCCGATCTAGCATGCGGATCCGAGCCCCTTTTGGCATTTCCGGAAATATTGCCGCGCGGGTTCGGGAGCAATCGGATGTTTTCGGAGATTTTATCGGGCGACTTGAATTTTGACGTTTGACAGTTCTGATGGTCATGTCAGTTAATGTATTGGTGTTGTTTTGCAAAATACCCAAGATCTAACGGTTGTAGAAAAAGTATAGTAAGCAACATGTTTGGTAAACTCGTTTATTAAACACTGGCTCCGCTCGTGCCAAATAAACTTGTGACTCAAATGCCGTTTACCGCACTTGTTGTATAATATGCTATTGTCTTATGGTTCCTATTTGGCAGCCTGTACTCCTGACTTGATGAATTATTGAATTCATAAATAAGTTCGACAAAAATGAGATCAGTCACCTTTTGCTTGATCCTGTTTTTATTAATTTCGTTAATATTAATGAAGATCGGGTTTACTTTTTCTTCTACTAGTATTTGCAGGTTGACATTTTTATCGGTCTGTCAAAGCCTTTTTCAGGTCTGTTTGTATTATAATGGACCAGGTATATAAAATTAAACTTTGTGCCAAATGTTTTTATGTTGACAACTGATTTTATATAATTTTGGTAGGCTGATTTCAAAAAGTTTATGAATTCATATGTATCATGTAAGCTTTTTTGCAAATATTAAAGGAAAAAACGATATTTCTAAAATAAATTATTTTTAATTCAGCAAAAAAGTGAAGTCCTTCTTAAAAAAAGTGAAAAAAAAAAACTTTTGTCAGACTTGTTTGAGTGAAACCTTGGTCTTTTTCTCAGAAAACTGCGTTGTCAACATTCGGCTGCGTGTTTTTAAAAGCATATATTCCATTGCCTTAATGTCCTGGTGAAAACTCTCTCCCCGTTCTTCGCTAACTGCTCCAAGATTTTCAGGAGAACAGTTTGTCCTTAGAATTCCCAAGAAACTTATCTTCTTCTACTTCTTCTACTTCTTTAAATGAAACTCGGACTTTTTTAGGCATTGTTAATTGTGTTTTGAAAATCCCTGCCTTTGCATAATGTTCCTATCTGCGGCACAACAAAAATATCATCTTGCCATCAGATATGGCTGGAAATTTCTCTCACAAATATTTGAAAATAAAACTAAGCTATCTCTTAATACATTTTTGCTACCAGGTGTAAGGCTTATTCTGGTAGGCCATTCTGTTCGAGCCCAATGTCTCGTGTCTGACTATCTCACTCACTAATAAAGCATGGACATTTTGTATAACCCTCCTGTTGTCCTAGGAGCATGCACAGTACTTTACGGTTACCACACCGGACGAATAAATGGGCCACAATGAACAACACTGGTCCCTATATGAATTCTAAGGCCCCAAAATGTTGCGTCACATTTGCTTTTCGATAAAGAGTTACTATTTTTGACAGAAATATTTTACTGTTTAAGTTAAATTAAAAACTTCAATTTCAATTTTTTCAAACGAAATGCCCATGCTTTTGAATTCCTCCTGCATCGATTGTTGATGAGTCGAACTTGCTGAAGTTTTGCTAATCATCCTATTGACTTCTTGAGAGCCTTAACTGAAAATGGTTTGCATTCTACACTGTACCTGCTGATATCTTATTTAAGGGAGGCGGAGCTAAAGGAAGCATGAACATCATCTGTAATTACTGTTTCCCACCTTGAGCCACGGTTTAGATTGTTCGCTTGTGTAGAGATTCTCAAATTTTTCTTTGGTATAAGAATTAATCTTAAATATTAAGAGATTAGATATTCAGAGATTTTTGGTAGTAAATCTGGTTTTAAGATTATATTTTTCAGGAACTTTTGATACGTCGTCAATAATGTTTTGAATATACTGGGTTGTTTTTTATATTTGCGTGCCCATCTAACGGAAGTAACAGAGAAAAACTTTTAATACAAGAGTTGTATTATTTCTGTAGTATTTTCTTTAGACGCATCGCAAAGTTTGGAAACAGTAGGAAGTTTTTTATTTTGTAATGGAATACCCTATATATTTTCTTTTATGACGAAAGTTTTTTTCTCCTGATCTCAAAAATATAGAGATTGTTGATATTTGGATAAGTCTTCCTTCAATTATTTAAGTTTAAGTTTTTGATTAACTAAACAGATAGTAATCAAGTTGGCTAGGCGTTACGCAAATTGAAACCTTCCATTAGGAAAATGTGTTACTCAGAGTAAGAACAGCTTCAAGTAATTCGTCTTTTTTACTACTAATAGTACTAATTAACCAATAATACTAAATATTTTAAAGAACATAATATCAACAAAAAAGTACTATAACAAAACCAATAACAATGATATTTAAACGAACTATAATGAAAATATAACGTGAAGTAAATGGCTATGTTTTCTATTTTTTCTCTTATTTTATATTTTCTTTTACAAGTATAAAAGGTAATACTGCAAAAATTATACAACTTTTGTATTAAAAGTTTTTCTCGGTGACTTCCGTTAACCCCTGTGAGGGTTCGCAAATAAATTCATTTTCTTCGGGACGTTGTGATGGACGTGGTGGTTGCAATGGAGCAATAAATATATTGATTGTGGAAATTATTTGGGAGATTCGGTTTGGGTTAATTTTATGGATCTGTAAACAAGAGAGTTGATAACCGATTATATTTGGGCCAGATAGTGACGATACAATGCATTAAATTATCGGTCTATCTACGTACGTTTTCTAGAAACTCAATGACTCAATGTTAGGTCCGATTTTCTAATAATAAGAATATCTAAGAATGGGAGATAAATATTAGTTTCTAATTCAATGGTATAACGTATTTTAGGGTGTATAGAGTTTAAATAGTTATGAAAATCCCAGATTAATTGTTGACCATCAGGCCAAATAACAAAAGTATCATCATCGTAGCATCGACATAGTTTTGGTTTCAGATGAAAAGTACTGTACTGTACATATTGGTGATACGTCAGCGAGTTCGACTCACTAATTTATTAATGCAGGAGGAATCCAAAAGATTTCTAAATAGTATTATAGTAGCTTGCTTTGTGCTTTGAAAAAGAAATAATAATTTTTGATTTTGCTTCTCGTGGAAGATATGTATGTGTAAGTTGCGGTGTAATTGTGTTTGTAAAGAGTTTTAATTTTTTGTTGCAAATAGATTGTTTTTTTTTTGGGGGGAAACTGCGCTTTATGTGCACCCTTATAATTGGTCTTGTCTCATTTAATTAATCTGCAGGAATTGACTATCGAAAAGGGCGAAATGGAAAAACTCGGAATACATATCAAGGGCGGGCTGCAGGGTCAAAGAGGCAATCCGCTGGACCGATCTGACGAGGGTGTATTCGTGTCAAAGATCAACAGTGTGGGGGCGGCGCGTCGTGACGGTCGCTTGAAAGCGGGTATGCGCTTGCTGGAGGTAAACGGCAAGTCGCTTTTGGGAGCTACGCATCAGGAGGCGGTCAACGCGCTCAGAAACTGCGGCGACAAGATCCGCCTGGTCGTGTGCAAAGGTTATGACAGATTGGATCTGGATAGGGCGGTGGCCGAAGGACGGCTGGATAGAGGCGGTTCGATCAGTAGCCGGTCGCAGAGCGTCAGCAGTTTAGACGTCCCTCCCGACGAAGAAGTATTGCAGGTACGCATTTTCGAATTGGTAGTCCCACTCTGTTTCAAAAGAGGAAAAAACCTTAAGTTATTAAATTTAGTTTCATGGAGTCTAAAGTTTTCATCTTGGTTTTTATAGGCGCTGAAAAGCCACCAAAAACAAGTCACAATTTCTGAGAAACAATTCAGAATTTCTGATGTAAGGCTTTCGTAATGGACATTGCGAATAGAATTATCCGATAATTCAATCTCTATTATAAAATTCCATTTTTTTCTTACTACTACCAAAATTGTTATTGTTAGAAATGGTATTTTGATTGCTCCCGTACTACATCTTTGAAGTATTTATTAACACAATCAGTAGATATTCCTTGAACTTTTTGATTGCAAATAAGTCAAAAACAAAAACAACAACAAAACAAAATTAGACGACCTTTTCATGAAAATTTCTTCTATAAATATTTTTTCATCATATTTCAACCAGAAGTCAATAGATAAAAAAAGTATTATTCCATTTTTCTAAATAATATCATAAAACTGGCACCCTCTGTTAGCAATGTCCTAATAAGTTTCAAAATTATAATTTTCATGTCAAAAAATTTAGCACTATCTCAATTAATGAGAATAAAATTGAACAATTGCCCTATATCTCCGAAACCAGCGATATCGGTATGAAGCATATCATATATCAATCATAATATTATAGTGGCTACAATTACCCTGTGTGTATATATATCCATTCGCAATGTCCCTTACGAGAGACTTACTTCAGATATTTGTAGTTGTTCTTCAGAATTTCTGGCTTGTTTCGCAGAGTTTCTGACTTCTTTTTTAGAAAATCTGACATGTTTCGCATAAATTTTGACATATAAAAAATTCTGACTTGTTTTTCAAAAGTTCTGTCTCAAATCAGAAATTCCGATTTATTTCTCAGAAATTCTGCTCTTTTTCCAGAAGTTCTGATCTAAGTCCAAAATTCTGACTTATGCGTATATTTATTTTTGGTGGACTTTTGTAATTTTAATTTTTAATTAGACAGTTTTTTAATAATATCTTTGAATTTTGATAATTTCTCAATTGGTTTTTATCTACTATAATTGTTTTGTTGATTTTAAGTACAGACTTTGACAGTTGACAGTAAGAGTTTCCTGTACTTTAGTGGAAAACCATTTTATTTAAAGAATTGAATGTTGTTGAAGTGTTTATGAAACCTAAAAGCTCTATAATGCAAATTTAAGGTAAAAATTATCCTTTTCTAAGCAATGAACAAGTGTTTTTCGTTGTTATTATTATGCATAAAAAAGAGATTTGCAGGAGGGTACAAAACGTGCTTTCTCTAAAAGTAACAAGACTCGCTAGAATTCGTATTGAAAGTAGTCTCTTCTGTCAAGCTCAAACCTACAAAGTAAAAAACTTGCAAGTAATCCACTCTCAATCTTCAATTGATACTGCTTACTTGAAAAGTTGCTTCGAATTTTCTAAAACATCCACATAACAAATGTCGCCCGAATAAAAAACAACAGCTTTTAATTAGATATTTTAATAAAAAAAATATATTTTTTTGTCTTTAAAAAAGCTATTTTCGAAATTTCATAGTAGTAGTAGTATATATGTCTGGATTTTACAGAATTCTAACCAACTTTTCAAATAATTCTTTTAAAATAAAAATTGACCCACATTTGACACGGTTATGTGTCATTATCGAAACATAGTAAGCACAGGAAATTGTGATACAAAATAGGTGAAAAGGAGACCTTTTGAATACCACAAACTAAGTAACATAATGGAAATGTGTTTATGGTACCTACATTCTTAAGTAGTGTGATAGTTTAAAAATTCGTCGGGAGTGTACTGTGCTGTGGTGATGTACGGAGGGCCATCTATTGCCAATTGTCGGAGACGAAGTCGGCGAAGGAGCGCCTAGTGGCCAGTTCCTTTGTAGGGGACCAACTGTGTTGTGCTATTTGATTGTTTTGTTCGATTTCGATCTGCTGAACCAGAGTAGGTACGACCGGTCCATGCAATTTGTACTTTTGTGTTTTTCACGTATAGTAATATACTATGTTTTCGCCGCTTCTGAACCCGGTGTGCTTCGGTAGAAATCCATCACAGTAGTTTATCCTGTATTTCGTATTCCGGGTGGTTGAAACATATTCGATATACGCTCTGCTAAAATTTTAAACAAGGCAAATTCTCGAATAACATTGAACATTCACCCGTTCTTGACCGATGAGGTCAAACTGTTGTACTAAGATTTTATAAAAGATTGGTTAGTCATATTTTTGCCTATTAAAAAAAAACGATGTATTTAACCCTGAACTACTATCGTGGGGTCAAATCTCGCCCCAGCACTTAAGCTTCTTGGTTTACCTGGCAGACGGTTCCGCGCATGACCTTGTCGTCCTATGTATTCTCCCACTTAAGTGCATAGTTTAGTATACCGTTTAGTAGTAGAGCTTGCGTCGCACTAATTGCAAGTAATTTGCTATTGGGGGTCGAATTTGACCCCGCGATAGTAGTTGCGTTCATTTTATTTTAGTAAGAATGACTTCTAATAGTGCTAATATTCGAATTGGCGGTGTCACAGTGAGAATGTTGAAGATAATAGTGACAATAATAACAGTAATACAGACAATGAAGGTGAACACTTTGAACATGATACAGCGTCAGAAATCCATCTAAATGACGCAGATTACATAAGCGACGAAGTTGAATCAGCATCTGATGAAGAATCGTCTAAAAATTATTATTACAGACGCAACAGACATAAGTGGGCTAAAAATCCTCCGGCACCATCAACAGTTCGCGCGCACAATATTATTACGCACCTTCCAGGTCTTCGTGGACCGTCATCAAAACCATCTAGTCCAATTGAATCGTGGTATCTAAGTAGCGAATTATGGAGATACATGCACATTTACCGATCATGTAAGCGAAACTGAACTGAAAGCCTTTTTGGGTGTTTTATATCTCTCTGGTTTATTCAAATCTAACAAACAATGTCAAAGGAACGCTTCTTATTTCTTCTCACTGCCATTAGATTTGATAATCATGTAATAAGAGAGCAAAACAAGGCCAGTGGTGATAGATTTGCAGCAATATCCCATTTGCTCAACACTTTTATAAGCCAACAGTATAGCACAATCGATTAGATGTTGGTTGGGTTTAGGGGCAGATGCCCTTTTAGGATGCATATGAAAGCCAAACCAGTCAAGTACGGCATCAAGATTATGTGTCTATGTGATTCCAAGACACATTATTTGTTAAATGCTTTCGTGTATGCGGACAAAACCAATGAACCCTATCCTCTGAAGCTGTCCATACCTACCAGATCAGTACTCACTTTAGTGAATCCAATTGCTAATAGTAACAGGAATGTCACTGGTGATAACTGGTTCACTTCATTAGAGGTTTTTAGTGAACTAAAGAAACTTGGACTTACATGTGTGGAAACCATGCGTAAAAACAAGAGGGAAATTGTTATGTTTGGTTTTACTCGAGACAACACACACACAACACCATGACAACTCTGTTGATCAGGAAACTAAAAAACGTGAGATAATAATGTTGTACAATAAGACGAAAGGAGGAGTTGATGCCCTTGACCAAAAATAATGGATATTGCTATGGTAAATAGTCGTATCATTTGTCACGCAGCTAATTCTGGAATAAAAAAAAATGTCTCTGAGTTTATCAAAGAGCTAGGAATGAGTCTTATTGATAAGTATTTGAAAATAAGATTTGCTATGCCCAATTTGTCCAGATAACTTCGCTCAATAATCTCGAAAGCATTAGGATCTGAAAGTACTCGTGATTGTGAGCCTAGAGAAAGAAGGTCCTGTTGTAAGGCGTAGATGCTACTTGTGTCCCAGGGGTAAAGATACCAAACATTCCACCATGTGCTCAGAATGTCATAGGACAATCTGCAAAACTCATTCACTACAACAATTCACCTGTACTTCATGCCAAGAATTGGTAAGCATTACATAAAAAATCAATTTATATTGCAATCATATTTTCAAAAGTTATGTGTCCTTTTTTTTGCTTGAGATTTGAATGTTTTTCTTCTGTTGCAGGTGAAGATGGTATTATGAGAATCTTATTTCCAGAGACTTTTTGTTCCAGTATTTGTTAATATTTTTTTTGTTCTAATAAACGTTTGTTTTTGTGGATATAAAAATGAAGGTGTTGCTTATTCATGTTCTAATATTTTAATTTTTTTTGAAATATAAGTGTCTTTTACATTGATCAAAAATTAAAAAAATCACAAATTACATTTAAATAATTACCACAGCCAATTAAAAATTGAGGGGTCCTTTGTGACCCCACGATAGTAGTTATGTAAGTATAAATGGGCGATAGTAGTTCAGGGTTAAAATAAGTTGGTGCGAATTGCGTCTTTCCAAAGTCAAATTCTTAGCATTTCGCATATGTTTTGCTATCTTAAATTTTGTGTGACCAGACTAGCTTGATTTGTTTCAGGAGAATAAGTTTAAATCGGAAGTGGTCCAGTTCGAAAAGGAGGAAGCCGAAAAACGAATACAATGCATTTCCGATTTGAATGACATTTCATTGGTCGAGGAAAAACAAACCACTTCTGCCGAGAAGGTATACTATTAAATTACAAATTTATAAGAGACCGTTCTAGATTCTAAAATACAATTAAATGGCTTAACTCTAACTTTAAACGAGCTTGTGTTTCGAGGACTGACGAATACCTGCACTGAATTTTGTCGTACCTTTTTTCAACATTGTGCCCCTTTCAAAGACGGATAGACTGCTATTGAGTGTTATAGTTCTAACAAAATTGGTGATTGAATAACCTGTTTTTAAATGAAGTCACCAACAGGAAGATTGAAAAAGTTTAGTTTCAAATAAAATGTAGTGGTGGCCGTCCGGATGACGTCTCACTTAAGTTGATAACTTATGTTGTTACTCATCTAACTGCTCACATTACCATTAAATGAAATACCTTTTTAAGACAGGCAGTTTTAAACATAATAATCTCACTGGGCTCCAACACTTGCAGCATTTAAGGCTACTCTTTAAAAATCTTTGATCTATATCGGTCACTCAGCTCACACTTTTTTTACAGAAAATTATTCCTATTTACAAATCTTCTGGATTCTTTCTGCGTCGGTTGTTTATAAATCAAACTTCCTGATGTTTCGCCAATTATTCTGTTGGCTTCTTCACAGGATGATTGGCCTGTGGAAGTTTTTTTGAAAAACATTATTTCCTGCGACTTAGTTGGGATTTCGACAGCAACATAGCATAAAAACAGTTATTACACGTGTCTGATAATATGTATGAAACCAGTGATCAGGATACTAAATATTTGCCTTGTATTGTTAGTCTATAGTAAAGGACTTAAGGCCCTTGTTCTTACTAATTTTATTGACTAGTCAAAACCAGTCTTATTGTGTAACTCTTACGATTTATCTTCACACGTTTCTTTTATCTTTTTAATTGATTTGTAAAATAAGTATTAAGTTTAGCTCCAACTTGGGCGAGTTTTATTTATCAGAGCAATACTAACATAAAAAACTGAAAAACAGCGCGTGCTCAAAAAATTATTTCGCCATGGCATAGATAAAAAGTTTAGGCTATTGAAAACACCTAATGAATTAAGGACATGCGATGAAACAAAAGTCTTCTTTATATACATACTTACATAACTTTAAGCGGTTTTAAAAATTTTGATTTACAGCCATCAGTTTTTAGACTTTGACAAAAAACTAACAACATGAATCATAAAAAACAATTTTCTGTTTTTTTGCATCCCTAAGCAGAAAAAGTGGTTTTAAAGTTGATAAGATATTCTGAAAATAAAAGGGAAAGTGAACTTTCCAACGAAATAGTAATAGCAAAAGCACTAGGAACCAGTTTAACCGTCGAAAGAGAATAAAAAGTGTAAACGAGGAAAGCCAAAGCCAAAATGGTCATCATGGAAATTAATAAAAATGTTAGGTTTGCGCTATAAAAGACTCTAGCCGAAGATTGTTATGTGAACAGCCACAGATAATGAGTCAGTATGTTCAACTTTTAAGCATATATAGTGAAAATTGCTTATCAAAATTTATAAAAGTCCTATTTTTAGACGAAACGTGGATATTTTCAAATTTAAGTGTTTGAAAATCTTAGACACATGAATGAGTCTGCAAAAAGTGTAAACAGGTAAAGGGGAGAAAACGGCTCATTATTTTGCAACTGTTACCAATAATACAACATTTTAGTCTCTGTGTTTTCTGATCCATTAGTGACCTTTGGACCCGCATGATAAGACTGGATTTGACTTGATAATCTATAAATCCAAGGGATGGGTTGATTTTGTTTTAACGTCGATGGATGATTTTTTTTTGTCAATAGTGATGCATCAATATCAGTTGAACCATTCGTTTTGAGTGTGTGTTGTCAGCCTAAAGGTTCCCTTCGTATGGTACCTTTTTTGTATTTTTATCGTGCTAGGTTTTAGACGTGGTACACGCCGTAGAAACACTCGCCAAAGGACCGCAAGAGAATCACGCGCCTCCCAAATCTCCCGGCGGATCAAATTCGGAATTGAAAACCACGACGATTGTGATGAGCAAACACACCCTCGCGGCGCAGCCCTTAACCGTAAGCCTTTAAATCTCGTTCTATTCAATATGTCCATGCAATGTGTTATTGTGGCTTTGTAGTTTTTGTCCCTGTTTTTGTCCGCATCGGCAATTAACTCGTAACTTCGATGTTATTTTTAACTTTTTAAAATGTAGTGCGGAACATCACGTTAATGGTTAAGAGGTGGAATAACTGGTATAGAAAAAAAAAAAAAAAAGATTTTAAGGTTAAGAAAAACAGATGGTTCAACAAATTTGAAAAAAAAAATATTAAATCGTCCAAAACAAAATGCGGGAAATTATTTTCGAGTTTCTGAAATGGCCACCAGTAGGCGCAGTTGTTATTGTGAGTTTGAAAACAATAAAACATTTCCAATGTCCACCATGGTTAAAGTGCTTACTATTTTAAAGCTCAACCTTTGCTATTAATGATTAGGTTTAACTAACTCACCAAAACTATTGAATTATTGGAGAAAATCTAAGTAGTAAAATGTGTATTGAAATAATCAGTATTTTTCTTCGATTCGAATGCGTAGACACTGAAATGGACAATTATAAAACAATATTGAAAAAAATAAAGTAGAGTAGGCAATCAAGAGACTTTGACAAGCATCCGATTATCAACATGAAAAATGCGAACCTTTGGTAAGATAAAAACAAAACTAATTTTCATGGCAATCTTGATAATTATTTCTGTGAAACAAGATTATTCATTTTTTAAATGGGTTCCTACAGGTTTCGTTAATATGTTGAGTAAGATGTCCGCCGTTGGTCTTGATTACCTGCTTGGGCTTCTCAGGTCATACTTACCAAAGCGTTCATTATTTGTCGAGCGTAATGGATTCAAGTCTTTTATTTTACCGCCACCAGTGGTGTCCCTCAGGGTAACAATCTAACACCACTTCTCATTTCCATCATTAATAAAGATATAGGCTCTAATATTTGAAAACAAATTCTGCTATTCGCAGACAACTTCAGAATGTATATGATAACAAGTACTACACTAGATGACTGCAAAGTTCTACAAAATGATATAACTATGCTCTCATCGTGGTGTGTGACGATTTGCCTTCTGCTTAATATTCAAAAATTTTATAAGATTAAATTTTCTACAAAACTAAATCCAATAACCTATTTCTATTGGCGGACTAAGGTGGCTTTTACTTGAAGAAAAGCCTTTTAACACAACTTAAATTAGAACAAAAAATGTTCAGATTTTGCAGTTTTTAATTCTTTATGACAGTTGTTTCGGCATCACCGTGCCTTTATCAAATACAAAATATAACTAATTCCGACACTTATATATAAAAATCAGTATTAATAGATTTTTAATTACAGGTATAGGGTTATAAATTTAAATTTTAAATTTTCTGGACTTAACTATAACTAAACTACAGAACAAGTTAGGTTTTTCCATTTACCATAAACCCTCACACACGGATACAATAATGCATAATAACTCAAATCACCCTTACACACACAAAATGTCTGCCTTTTATGCTTTTATCAACAGACTACTTAATGTACCACTTTCTACAGAAAATTTTGAAAAAGAATTAAATATTTTAAAACATATAGCTTTTAACAATGGTTACGACCCCTTTTGATAGATAAGATTATAATTGAAAAGTAGTTTTAAATAACTTTGAACTCTGTCTATCCCATATTAAACGCCGAAACAAAATTTATAAAACAATAAAATACATAGGAGAACCTAGCAAGAAAGAACATTTCGAAATATCTATCTAAATTTGGTATTAATATTCATTTAAAAACTGAAAACACCATAGGACATTTTCTAAAAAAACAATAAAACTAAATTACGAAAAACTCAAAAATCTGGAGTCTACAAGTTGAAATGTGGATCTTGTCCCAAAATGTATATCGGACAAACAGGTAGAACATTTAAGAAACGCATTAACGAACATAAAAGGACGTATAAAAATAAAAGTTGGGATTCTAACTGTGCCATTCATTTAAATTCAGAAGTGCATGACTTTGACGATAATTTTGATATTTTACATAATCATTCAAATTGCAAAATACTAAATTTGTTGGAAGCTTTGGAGATTAACAAAATGAGATATTCGAATTTAATACTTAATGTCCAATTGGATTTAAATGCGTCTCCGTTGTTACATTTAAATTTATAACCCTATACCTGTAATTAAAAATCTATTACTACCGGTTTTTATATATATGTGTTGCGGAAACAGCTGTCAAGAATGAAAAACTGTGAAAATCTGAACATTTTTTGTTCTAATTTAAGTTGTGTTAAATGGCCTTTCTTCAAGTAAAAGCCACCTTAGTCCGGCAATAGAAATGGCTTATTAGATTTAGTTTTGTGGAAAATTTAATCTTATAAAATTTTTGAATATTAAGCAGAAGGCAAATCGTCACACACCATGATGATAGTTATATCATTTTGTAGAACTTTGCAGTCATCTAGTGTAATACTTATTACCATATACATTCTGAAGTTGTCTGCGAATAGCAGAATTTTTCTTGAAATATTAGAGCCTATATCTTGAATAATGATAGAAATTAGAAGTGGTGCTAGATTGTTACCCCGAGGGACACCACTGGTGGCGGTAAAATAATGAACGCTCTGGTAAGTATGACCTAAGAAGCCCAAGCAGGTAATCAAGACCAACGGCGGACATCTTACTCAACATATTAACGAAAACTGTAGGAACCCATTTAAAAAATTAATAATCTTGTTTCACAGAAATAATTATAGTTATCAAGATTGCCATGAAAATTAGTTTTGTTTATATCTTACCAAAGGTTCGCATCTTTCATGTTGATAATTGATGCTTGTCAAAGTCTCTTGATTGCCTACTCTACTTTATTTTTTTCAATATTGCTTTATAATTGTCCAATTCAGTGCCTACGCAGTCGAATCGAAGAAAAATACTGATTATTTGAATACACATTTTACTACATAGATTTTCTCCAATAATTCAATCGTTTTGGTGAGTTAGTTAAACCTAATAATTAATAGAGGAATAACAGATATACTTAATATTTGAAAACTACTGAGCAAGTCAAAACGTAGTAATGTTAGCTACGGGATAATTTCGTGCCCTTCGAATGTTTTATTTGGTATATTCGGGTTAGTTGGACATTAATAATAACCCGTAAAGTGATTTTTTTTTTCAAAAATCGAACTTTTTTTTAGCAAAAAGTGTTTTTGTTTATATTTTAGAATATGATAAATATTTTGAGATTCGTTTTCACTGGTTTGTGGGGGCCTTATTTCACTATCTAATGACGCCCATGTTGTTTTTGAAATGATCAGAAAACTTCATCTAGTGGCAAGGTAAGAAATCACATACGTGTCACTTAATAGCACTAGTGATAGCCTAGGATATATATTTCCACTTTCCTTACGGAGATAGAGCAAAAAGCATTCAACTAAAAAAGATGTAATTTGTTCTCTGGTTTAAGTAATTTTTTTTGTAGAAACCGAATTTTAAAATTCCACATAACAATTACGTCCTGTAATGGTCATTTCAGAGACTGGTTTTCGGTATTTTGTCTTGGCCGATTTATTTAAAATATTTGTTTTTTAAATTTCTAGGACCGTCCCGTTACAAAAGTTTCTTAAGAAGGGTCTGGATAGGCATTTTTTTTCTTTCATTCTAGTGATTCCATATGCATCTGAACCATACCATTACAGTTTGTCCCCTATAAAAAATGGTGCTTTATCTGCAAGAACCACCTACATAAACAGTTTTTGAACTAAAGCAAATAATCCAAGTAATCCGTTTCTGACCTATTTTCGAATTTGTGTCAAAAATAACGTTTGAAAGTATAAATGTACCTATCGCATTCTCTGACTTAAGGCCTTTATTATTTGTTTGAAACAGCGTATTCTCAAAGGGTTTTGTCTAAAAGCAAAAGCATATGTTTAATAAAAGTTAAAAACTTTTATGTAATAATTCAATTACCTTGCCTGATAAAATTTATAAAAAAAATCCCGAAGAACATTAAACAATAAGTTTAGTGCTGGATTGTTTTTTTTTGTCGCCATTATTTTCTTGTCCAATTAATATCAGTTTAGCATTTTAACATAATTTTTTTTTTAATTTTGAAATCCACAAACATTTTGAAATAGGGAACCTTATACAAAGCTACCGAACGCCAAATATGATGAAATTATAAAATTGTTCTTTCTTTAAAGATTTTTTCCTTTAAATTGTAATTGTAAGTGTATTTATTAATTTTTATAAGGTCAACACAAATCATTTAAGTAATTCCCCATCTTTAAGGAAATCAAACTTCGATATATAACAATGGCTTTGAGTCGGACAAATCGATAGATATGTTTGACATGCAAGCCTGATTTTTAACATAAAATGCAAAATATGTCGCGGTAAAACTTAGATTTAGGTTGTTATAATATTAAATGTCTAGAAAGTTCCGAAGATTTCAAAAATGATTAATTTTTTAATTAATTTGTACACTTGCTTATTTGTTACATTGTGGATACATTATTCCAAATTTTCACTGTGTTCGTGGTAACTGGAGCAAGCTAGGCTACCAGTTGCCGCAGACTTATTGTCGAGTAACCCTAACCTAAATGACTTACAGTTCACAGTTATGTGAAATGCACCACAATAGACAACCGCAATGCGTTTTGGTTAGATCTTGTATACAACAATTTAATATTGCTATTATAAAAACATACTGATTTTTATTTTTTTTTAACCAAACTAAAACTAAATTTAAAGAAAAACTTTGTTGTCACCTGCTTTTTTTTCATTTTTATAGTTTCCAAGAAAAAGAAATTAAACGTAAACATTACAAGAAAAAAAATGTTCTAAATAGTTACAATTTAAAAATGATTTGTAAATAAACATTATTGAAACTAATAAGTCAATAACAAGCAAGAAGTGAAACAGTAATGTTCGGGCTCGCCAAATTGACCACAATTGACTAGTCAAAAAATGTTTTAAGTAATTCAATTGTAGAGTGTTATCTAGCATTACCATTATTTAAAATTAATGTGTATTT